TCCAAAAGACATTACATAGATGTAAACAGACATATACAAAATTGGTACTTTGAGAAAAAAAAAATCCTGTTTGACAAATATTATTTTCCAAGAAGTTTACAAGCAATATGCAAAAAAACCCTCCATCTGTCTAAGTTATCCATTTAAAGTTAAAAGTTCTAGTTGAGAGTTGAAGCTTTATAAAAACAGATGTTCAAAATATACAATTTTTCCTTCCAAGATAGAGAATCACTTCTTGTCAGGTGATCCTTGGAACCTGAGTATGACAGGACCTGCAAGTCATCCCATCTCCAGGAGCACTAAACTGCTGGTTTTACTGAAGTTATACTGTGCTTTGATCCTCTACCAGAATATAGAATAATCAAGCCAAGGAGAGCAGGAAGGCACAAAGGTCATTTTGAAAATAAAAAACGGGAGAGGGTTATATACATACAATCATTATACACACATTTACAAGTGAATTGAATATTGGAAAATAAACACCCCTCTCCCCCCATTATTTTGATGAAATTTATTTTCTTCTTAAAGCAATTCTAAAAAGTACCTATATTACAATGTTAAAAAAAAACAATTTTAAACCAGGGAACAGAAGTAAAAACAGAAATGGCCATCCTGGAAAAAGCAGAAAATGAAGTGTGGTGAATTCTGCTTTTCATTCAAAAATCCTGCTCTGATTACCAGTACAGAATATGAAGTCATGCTGCATATGAGGGACTTGAATTTTTCATTAAATCTGTGAAAGGCAGAGCAGAACACTTCACTTACTTTCATGCACAGATTCAAGCACTGGATCTCAAGAGAGCAAAGAGCTCTCACCTGTGTAATAACCTCACACATATAAAGGTCCACAGAGCATAAGGTCAAGTCACTAACGGGTGATTTTCCTTTAAATATGTACCATCATCAGAAGCATTTCAACAGACACACAGTTGGAATTTTTCACACTTTTATTTTATTGTTCATACATAAAGTTTAAGATGTATTTACCTGTCATTCTTACCTTCACATGCCAAAAGAGAAGGTCAGAGCCTAAATGGGAAAACCACCAGACTTTACAACACACAGAAATTCCTAACTTCTGCTTCCTCAGATGGTAAAAATTACTTTAAATTAATAGAGCTGAAAGAAATGACACTCAGGAAATAACATACCAGCAACCCTGGGAGGCTTAAGAGAGCTGCATCCATTTATAGCAGGATGCCTGAAGAGATCATTATATTATCTATGTTGATCTTCTGTATCTCACAGAACATCTGAAACATTTCGTCGCCCAGCCTATAATAAGCCTTGTAATTAGGCTACAGTGTTCTCACACAGAAAAACCCAAAGCTGCTCTATATGCAGCAGACCACCACAAAGGCCAAGTCATATGCACCAGAGGGGAACTAATTATTGGCAAAATTAGGCTTCATGATCCCACCAAGCAGTTTTTACTGCATATTAATTCCTCTGCAGCACTCTTGTGACCAATTTTATTTTGAGCACTTGAACAAAGCCAAGCAACCAAACATTTATGAAAGACAGCTTCCCATACTGCTTCAAGCAGCTACTGCAACATATACAACTGCTTTGAGCACTATAAAACATACACAACTCTGAGACATTTAAATCCAGTTTATTTAGTACCCAACTCAAGATAAATCAGAGGCAGTTTATATTGTCTTAGAGTATCCCATATAGAGGATTAGAGATGAAGACTTCTAACTGGGGGTAAGTAATCTTTTAAAGTTCAAAAACAGGAAGATAATGTTTCAGTTCTAAACTGAAAAGAAAAAGGAATTCTTTTTAATTCTTAACAAAAACCAAAAGTGACTATTAGAAAAACTAAACCCAGAAAGGAGAGCCTTACACTTAACCCAGGTTCAGCTTTGTTTAAAGGTAAAACCAAATGTCCAAAAGATACAGAACATAGTAACAATAATAGGACAGATACTGGTGACATTTTAACCCTTAATACTAAATTCTAGCAAGACCAGGGGGAAAAAATGCAGGGACAAAGTAATCAGCAGGAATACTTCTCCAGTGCAAACAAAGTAATCCTCAGAAAAGCTTACACAAACACACAGTACTTGTAGCACAATGTAAGGAACTTGTTTTGTGAACCTAATAACCTCTGTTGTCTCTGCGCATTCTGATGCACTTCTCTGTCAGCCCATGTCAGTACCTACTTCTCTGTTTCTGTTTGGGATCCTTCTGCTTTCCAGCTCACCAGGGCTCCTTCTTTTGTTTGTTTTGCCTGAAGTCCCAGAGAAACAACAACACCCTTGAGCTGAGTGTCAGAGAGTTCAAGAAGCAACAGGTGCCCAAGGGAATCTTCAACCTGGGTCTTCAGCACAGCCTCTGATAATGCACAACCTTTTTTCCCCAAACAGGAACATGGAATTGAGATACAGACAGGCTGAGTGAAAAGCAAGAGTAAACATCTCTTTGAGACAAGAACTTCCTCATGTTTTTGGTTTTTCCCCCTTTTGCTGCAGGAGTGCCCCTGAACTTTGGTTGATGACATCCAAATGGGATTTGCTTAGCTTTCTACTTAGCCTCACAGAAGATTTCCTCATCAAATCATCAAATACTGACTTCAGATTTTACTTCCAACATCATAGAAGTAAAGGAATCGACATCTAAAAGCCTCTGAATCAGATGCAGAAAATGAAGTGAAATTAGAGAAAAAAGAAATTGTGTTCTTCCCATTTACCTAACACTGGGGACCAAAGGATAGCAGAGGAGCCCTTAACAAAATCATCATATTACTTCACTACTGTCTTCAAGCTTGGTGGTTTTCCTCAGAAATCAAAAATAAGTTTTGCGCTGAGTTGAATGACATATTTAGTGCCAAACTAAAGGATTTCTTTAGTTTTTCATCTCAGCAAAAACAACTAAAACAAACCCTCCCCAATTCCTAGGCACTGAATCTGTACTTGACTATTGAATTTAAGGTATTAAAAAAACCCAACCAAAAAAAAAAAGGAAAAAGAAAACCAACCACCAAACCAAAAAACCCAACCAAAAAATAAAAAAAAAAACAAAAACAACAAAAACAAACAAACAAACAAAAAAAAAAAAAAACCACACGTGGATCATGCACTTTTAATTCCAAAATACAAAATGCTACATTTCTCTTAAGTCTTGAGCCTTTCCTCAAGTTCTTCTGAAATGCTAAAAACCCTTGCTTAACAGACATAGTTGATTCTCTCACACCCCAGGAACTCCTTTTCTTCACTCTTCTCTTCCTTCATTCTTTTGCTTCTACCTCCTTGTTAGATTAGCAGGATTTGACTTTCACTCCCACTCCCTTTTTTATTCAAAGGCTGCTTTGAATAAAAATGAGCCAGTGTCCTGTTAATGACAGCCCCTTAGGGCATCTCCTTCACTTACAGTCTCCTCAACAGTATTTTTTTTTCTTCTGCAACTTACCATTTCCTCTTCATAGACATACCTCTCATTCATCTTCTGCCTAGTTTCAAAAATTATGTACCTTTCTCAAGTACCTCTTGCATTCCTAATTTTTTATCCTTTCTTACTTTTTTTTTATGCCTTTTTTAAGCTTGCACATTTGGGTCATTACTTCTTTCCTCTCTACATTCTACTTCTAGATCATCTAGTAATCAATAATAAAATTAAGCATTTAAAGGTGTTCTCATAGCTTTAGAAACTTCACTCTGCTTTCTGCTCATTCTGGAGTCTCAGGAGACTTATTTGTTCTGACCATTTTTCATGGCACTTCTCTCATTCAACCCAACCTGTTGGCCATTTATTGTAATGCACACAATTTACAAATCCCCCAAACCACATCCAACAGATCTAATGGATTGTACTGGAAACTTCACAACCTGAACAGAATGCACAAGGCTGCTCCTTGCCTTCCAGCAAACACTTGAATTTTCAAAAGAGCTCATGCCATGTCACTACTATGACACAAGAGGTTTTAACTCCAACACTCAACACACATCTGGGTTTTTCTGTTTGAAGCCACTGATGACAGACACTCCCTTCTGCTCACTGGTGTCTCACTTCTGCTCATACCTTGACATGTTGCAAAATAAAGACTGCATTCATTTTAACACATTAGTTTCAAGTGTTGGGAGTTTGTACTTGTTTTCTACAATAGGTTACAGTTGAAAGTATATCCGTAGCCAATTTTGGAAATCAAATTTTTTTATAACTTTCTGATATTTTGGACTGGTCCAAAGGTCACTCGTTTGGAAAAGAGGAAAAAAAAAAAGGAGGAAATCAAATGTTTTACAGTTGAAAGGAAGACCACTCACTTTTTAATGACATTTGTGTAGTTTACACTTCTAAACTTTAAGAAATTGGATTAATAGCTTCTTTATTTACTAATCCTATGTAGAGTCTTAAAACACCTAAGACTACTTTTCTTGGTTTTATTGGTTTCCTCCTACTTGCCTGCACGTTGAACCTTGTTGAAAAATAGATTTTTCAGGATGACTGCTTGCTGGGTTTTTTGTTTGTACTTAATGGTGTCTGGAAAGCACAAAATCTAAATAAAGTTATGGCTTTAATCATAATTCTGACTCAATTCTGCACAACCACAAACAACAGAAGAACAACAATCCTAATTTTAAATTAAAAGCACATGAAAATTTGAAAAAGTTGTTTTATCTTCCATTTTGTCCACGGGAACGTAAATCCTCAAAAACCCACATGTGTACACACAGGTCTTCTAAAAACACAACCCTTCATAACACTTCTTACAAAATGAAGCCAAGAGGAAACTGAACACAATATGAAACATGGCTTTAGAGGACAAGAAAAGAAAAAAGCCTGAAGACAATCACAGCAGAGCAGGGTTTGTTAACTCAGGATCACATTTACTTGGAGATGAGGTTTTAACAGACCAGAAACAGTCTGCACATAACAGCCTGTTTGTCCCAGCCACCAGACACCCCCAAATTTGAAATAAAGCTACCAGCTGTCTTAGCAAGATGCCATGTCACTGTTTGTGGGGTTGATCTATGAAGTCATTTTCTTAGAATACTTACCACTAAATCCCAGTTATTTTGTTCAAGCAACGTTATAGCTTCATCAATATTTTCAATACCAGTACAGGCCTAAAAATAAAAAGAAACAGTAAACAGAATTAAAAGCATTGATCAAAATCAGGGTATTAATACTTATAATTCAATTAATTTCAGCAGGATGACAGGAAAAGTATAGGTTTTCCCTTTCTATTATAAAAGGGTAATCCAGAAATCAGACTTCAAGTTTTAACACCAAACATTTAGATGTAATTCCCTGTTCCACCAGAGGACTCTTGTGTAACCTTGAGCAAGCAACCCAGGGAAGCAAGACCAAGCAGTTATTTGTAAAAGTAGGACAACAGTGCTGTCCCATAAAGGTGTTTTACCTTCAAAACTATGAAGCACTCATACTACTTTAAAAGGGAGCACAAAAAACCTTGAAGTTCTAGCCCTGTACTCTGGCTTTACCTAGTTCAGGAAATCTAACACGATAGCATTTTTAAGGTAGTGTTAACCCTCATAAAACTGTATTTTGAACTGAGCTTAATTCCAAACACAAGAGCACCCCTACTCAGCAAAAACTGAGATGCAGCAACCTGCTGCCTTTTTTTGATACCCAGACCTTTTCCACTATTCAACTTTTCCACTATTCAATGAATCATTGCTGTATTCATTCTGCCATATATTTGCCACCATTCACATTGAAGCATATCAGGTACACTTTACCAAAAAAGAAAAGAGGAAACAGCTAAGTCTCTTTCTGGAATTTATCTTTCATCATAACTGTATTCAAACATACAAGAGGAGTTCAGACTTTTACAAGATCTGAAACATGATCATGTTCCTTCTGCTCCACCACACAGTTATATAAAACTGTGGTATACAAAACTGCATCCAAAAAATATAAAAACAAACCTTTTAACAGTAATTATACAGAGCTAGATAGCAGCAGCAAACAGATCAGTTTTCCTGATTCCCTTTATGTTGTAAGAGAAGAAGGAGGCTAAGCAGACACTTTTTTCCTTCCAAGACATAAAGAGCCATCATCAGGTCATGTATTTCCCATGGTTTTTTTCCCAATTTACAACCATGAAAACATAAAAAGAAGAAATCACAAAGAAATTCAAGGCTAATTCTCTCTTCCTAAATTCAACCCTGAAAAAACCCACACTTACAAAGCACAACATGCAGTATGTCAAAACAAAATGGACCAGTCTGAAGGACCACAAGATGAAATTATGGAGAATTTTGCCTGCAGAGGGGAGGCAACAGTTTCTACTGCTACACAGTGCTCTCATCACCACATCGATCCTCTCTGCAAAAAGACAAAATTTCTTCCACTTCAGAGCATGCTGTGTTAATGCTGAATTTCACCCACTTCACATTGGGGGTGCTAAAAAATACCACTTTGCTCCTCAGAAGCATCATTTTGCCTTCTTTTCCATTATTTCTTGCTCACTTCACATTGGGGGTGTGAAATACCACTTTGCTTCTCAGAAGCATCATTTTGCCTTCTTTTCCATTATTTCTTGCAGTTATTTCTGAAGTTAAAAATGGAACAAAACTTCAACACAATCCCCAGGAAATGCTTACACATTTATATACACTCATGCCAAGTAGGTTTGCAGAGTACAGGGCTCGAGCTTGTCATTTCTGAAATCACAGGATGGTTCATACTGCCATCAACCTGCCACTGGAACTGATGTCAACAGATCTGCTGCAAAAAATCCTGCTTTGAGGAAAATCTCTGCAGAAGTCTGAGATTCTGTTTACATCCCAGTGAAATACACTTAACCTGGTCATTACAGAAATAGTTAGTATTTCTCGTTTGTCAGCCCTGCAAAATCTGCATGACCTTTTTAAGAATACCCTGTGTTTCAACCTACAGTAAGAACTTGACCAGCAATGTGTTGTTTTCACCCCTGGGCTGTGCAGATGAAGTCGAGGAGATGGTACCTACAATAGAGGATTTAACACTGGTTTTAGTTGTTCCCTCTTTTTATCATTCCTGCAGCTCTGCTGACTTGCCACTGTCCTCTTTTAGCCCATACTAACTGCAAATCGATTCAGTTCACTTTGGCATATTCTCATTTTGAGATAAACTAAACAAAATTAGTTTATCCTTCTGCCAGAGCACACAGTGAAAGGAGTTAACTGATCCCAGTGAGGGCAGAGTAATTAAACAGCTAATTCACCTGGTGTCTGCATCCTTCCTGAATCATCTTTCTGCTGATTTACAATGTAAAATAGAAGCCTGCTCTTGGTCACTTAGTAATTCAGAGTCACTGGGTAAAAAGAACAGACAGGTGTAAACACCAGCTGAAAATAAAGATCATCAGAATTCTTAACAGCCAATACCAGCATTTTTGGTTAAAATCTTTGCACCATTTTTACAGTCCTAATATTTGACTTTGAGGAGTTCTTAAACAAAGATTTCACTTTCCAGACAGATCATTTTTTTCTAGTTGTCAATGAAACAGAAAACAAACATTTCAGAATTGCACCAGGAAAGAATGAGTGCTACTTATCAATGTAATCATAAAAGAGACATTCCCAGATCTTCAACACACTGTTAATGTCAGAGTTGCAGCAAATTAAGATTATTTAGAATCTTATTATACTTCAGTATTTCAGTGTTCAAATACTACATACTACAACATACAAATCTTTGTATCAAGTCAAAAGCCATCAGTGAGATAAAAAATCCCCAGCAACCAAAAACTAAAGCTGCTTCCTTGTCATGACCTGCATCATGCCATGCAAGCTAAACTAAAGAAAATCACCTGGTTTGCATGTCTTTGGTTTTCCCTAAGAAATTAAGCACACGAGACAGGCAGTCCCTCAATGGCAAGCGTGACATGACGTCAAAGGCTCTGTGGTGACAGATCAGTCCCAGAACAACCTGGCCTGCTCCTGCCTTTGTTTTCTTTAGGGAAAGGCACACAGGAAAGCAGCAGGTTCTGTGAGCAGCACAATTAACAAAGTCTGGTTCCTCATGGGTTTGCTTCTCATCCCTAATTGCAAGGGCTGATTTCAGCTTTTCCTATGGCTGGAATATTTATAAGAGCCTCTCCTAATGGACTACTTCCCATATTACCTGGCTGTATTTTCATTATATTTGAAATTGTTTCATTAGTACAAGTCCAAGGGACACCTGGAACCTTAGGCTTTATGCCTCACTTATCTAGAAAGGCACACTAGAATTCACAGGGTTTAATTATTTACAATACACAAAGATGTTTTCCTCATGTTTATTCCTTTTATTCTATCCAAGCAAGAAACAAACAGACAAAAAATTAATGGGAAAAAAAAAAAGTTAAATTTGTTCAGAAACAGTAGTGAAAAAACCCTTAAAAATATAGCACAGCAGATGAGCCCTAAAGACGCGAAAATGCATCTCTGAGCAAGTAAAGAGAGGGGCTGAGACTTTTATTGTTCACAGATTTTTATTCAGCTTTATTTTCATAAGAGACCTGCTTAACAGAAGGCATTAAATATTTTAAAAGAAAATTCCTACCTGAATACTACTAAATCTTGTTTCAGTGAACAACCAGCACATCCTCTAAGTCATCAAAAGATGAAAGAAACAAACCACCACAGAAAAGGTAAAACCTTGAAGGCTCACTGATTTGTAAACCTTTACACATCAGAAAGAAACCAAAGAACTTTTTTTGGAAGAAAAGGAGAAGAAAAGGTAGAACAAGTTCCTCCTCCTTTGTGCATTTCCTGTAAATCTAGGATATCATTTTCAGCCTTCACAGCAGCTCCAGGGACTCTAGAGTCACTTCTGTGCTTTTCCAGACCACACAAGAGGAAAACGAATTCGAAGATGAGAAAACTATTGTTGTGTGCTGAATACAAAATCAGATTCTGAAGATAAAGTTACTGAATATTAAAACAACTTTCTTAGCCTGCTTTTCCAGGGCAGATAAGTGTTTCCACCAGGCAGATTGAAATTTTCACATAATAAAATTTCAGTGTTCTCCAAATTTTTTTTCCAGGTAGCTTCATATCCCCACAGCGATGGAGACCTTACCCTTGGAATGCTTCACAGGTAACCATTAGGGTGCTATCCTTGCATATTAACATTAACCTTAATAAAAGAAGCAAAGTAGTTACTGAGGAAATAATTCAACAGGAAAGAAGTTGTGAGGGCAGACAGACTCCAAGGCATTTGAGGCAAACCTAGGAGCTGCTTCCAGAAAGCTGTAATGCAGGATGCCAGACTGGCTCTCCTAAATCCCTTGCAGGGTGGTCTGACCCCAGCAGCTGTAACAGCTGGATGTGTGTTTTGAGACCCTCTGAGACACCCCACCCCAAGAGCCCAGGCTCCAACCTACCTCCACAGCCAGGGAAGCAGCTGCCTTCCCCATCTGGCAGCAGCTGCTCCCCGGCACCTGCTGCAGGGATGCAGGCAGTTGTTCCACGGAGAGCTGGAAGGGCCAACTGCTGCTGCCAGCACAGAGCCAGGCTGTTCCTGCAGGGCTGATCCTGCAGGGTGATCCTGCAGCAGGGCTGGAGAGCAGCAGCAGCTGCTGACGCTCACACACACTCACACTGCTGCCCCTTGCAGCTGCTGCACAGGAGCTGGCAGCACATGGCATTTAGCAGCAAGGCAGGATCTCTCTCACCTGTGACACCATTCCCCTTCCGGCCAAGGCAAAATGCAGCAGGCAAAGTATCCAAAAGGCCACTGTTGGCACAACAGCAGTAGCTGCATATGGAGGACTAAGTCTCAACGTTCCTTTTGAACAATTCCATACTTTCTTTGGATACTAACAGTAGCTGTATTTTCTCCAAAAAAGGGACCATCTAACCCAAACTAGGCCTAGAACATTTTGTACAACAGGTTCAGGCCCATTAAAACCAGGCAGACAGACAGCTGGGAATTACACTGGGTACCACTTGCTTCTGTAACAGTCAGATGAAAAATAAAATAATCTGTAGCTCAGTCCATCATTTCAATGTTTAGACAAATGCTACAATGCCCAAAGAAACAACTGCATGAAGGCACCAAAAGATTCAACTGGATTGCCTAGGAAGAAAATCTTTCACCCTCTGGGATCTCCTACAAAAGGTCAGGAAGTCAG